CTACGAAGAGATGAGAAGAACACAAACCATGAGAGTTAAGACACCATTGAGACACCAAACATACTACAAACAAACCAGTTTTAAACACGATATTGTGAGATATTCCATCTAAAAGGTGAAGCATCAATGAATTTCAGCATATAAATCTTTAAAGCAACAAAACCTAACTAGTGTGATAATCTAGAATGCAAGGCGTAACAAAACACTGCATTTGCATTTTCAGAATAAAAACATCTATTTATGAATCATATTAAACGAGGACATCCCCACATGTCACCAAAGGAATCTTGTAACATTAGCGAACATCTAGGGACAAATGCATCACCCAAGTATAGCAAAGCAAACTCACACGTGGACTCTCTTGTAACTACATCAAGTGTTCATTTGCATGGCTGTAAAACAGCTGTTGATTTATTTTCAGTATCAGAGCCCTAATGTGCCAGCATTAGCAGTTTTGGTTACAAACGACAGCAAAGCTCCTGTGGGATTCCCAGGGAACACTGCGGGCAAGCCTAGACGGGCTCTTATACGCAAATTCTGAACCGTCACAAGCCACATTTGCAAACTTCTTCCCTTCAGCAGACAGAGAATGTGGTTCAACCAACGCCAAATAATGGCGAGCGATGAGAAATCTGCGATGTGGTGCGGTTTCAACAGATATTTGGCCCGGTGAGATTGTAAAACGAACAGGGCAAATGTTTCCCAACTTGCAAGTGTTGTTCGGGCTAGTGTGCTGTGCTATATATAGGGTCTCTGGTGAGAACCCGCAGCTGTGCTGAGCGCACATCTTTCACATGTGGACTATTTTCTCAATAATTCAAATCAAAGCAGCTCAACCATCTGGACATGCGGCATGATACTAATAAAAAGGTGTAAAGTTGATTTTGAAATAAACGCGCACACCATGATTACATTATAAAGCATCAACACCTTTGAACAGACACAAGATACATTTAATCGACAGGGCACTTCAAATAAAGCCTACGCATAAAACACATAGTCGTCTGAATTAAATGTCACTGCTGAGTCATTTTGAACAAACAATACTTGCATATAATAAACAAACAACTGTTATTAGTCAGTGACTTTTGGTAGATGTTTTTTTCCAGAGTGACTTAAGCGGTCACATTAGTAAAATAGGTTTGTCTTTTGTCGATGGTTTAACAATCTATGAAGAACAGATACACAGATGTCACTTTCAAACCAAGGAGCTTTCTGTTGATCAACGTGATGGATTCGCATGACCAACTTAAACCAGCTGCGAAATGTACATGGTGAAATTAAGTGGAATTCATAAACACAATGACTGGATTTTGCCAGTTAAAATTCACAGAGAAGTGGTAAACAGTATTTGACAGCACTTTTACAATATATTTTGTATGTTTTTTATGTATTGCTTGCTACAAGAAGTTGAACTTATTTGGAAAACAAAAAATGGATGTCAAGATTATATACATAGAAACCATCTTGAATTTAATTACATGTTTTTTTTCCATCCATTTAGGCATAAAACTCACTAAATGTAATCTTGTATCTAATGCTATTTTGTTTTTTACAGGCAACTGTGTGTAGTTTGAGATATTTTGATATCTTTACTGAAACAAAAGACATGGTATACTAAAGGAAATGGACAATTACTTCCTTTACATCATACATTTGGTTTAAACATTGGAGACACTGGAAGAATTTGCATGAACAAATTTGAGGTCAGGCAGATAATGGGACACACACCGTGTCTACACCGGATGTGACCGTTGTTGTGTTGTGTTGTGATGCGACACAACAGCTTGAGGCTCTTCATTGCAAGCATTGCAAATCCATTTGTTCTTCATGTCAGAAGTAGCACAAGCAATTCAAGTGCATCAAAAATCAGTTTAGTGTTGGGAATATAAGAAGCTGTATCCAGTGTAGATTATAATGGGATCTATGTGCTTTTGACGTGTCACGCCACTCGTGTCCGGTGTAAAAAGTAAAAAGTAAGGTTTTAATCAAAGTATTCACTGTTTCTAAACTTGCATAGTAAAATAATTTTGCACTTTCTAAGGAATATTACCGCAATGCATGTAAATATTTCAGAGTGGTTGTAATTCTGTGGCTGGTTTCACTTGTTTCAGACAGCTGGAAAAGAGAGTCGGTAGTGAAGAAGTCTTTAATGACTGCAGCTGTAGGCCAAGTTCTGACCCAACGGTGACATATGGACAGACTGACTCTGAGTATCTCAGCTGGTTTGAACATTACCCTTCTGTAAAATCTGACTAAAACCAGCTAAAGATGGTAGCTAACATGGTCCAAGCTGGTTTATGGGGTTGACCAGATGGACTACCAGCTAGAAGGGAAACTGGAAAACTAGGTCACACAAACTTAAAGTGGTCAAGCTGGTTTAAGAACATTGTAGATGTTTACTGCAGGCTCAGGATGAGCTAAAATTCCAGTCAGGTAATGCGGGTCCAGCTAGTCAACCACCTAAAAGTGTTTAAACCAGCTAATGACCAGACTATTGAAGCCAGCGAACATGGTAAAACTGGTTTTAGCTGAATATTTTAGTATTGCTATTCACATTCCCATCTGTTAATGGAAACCTCAAGCTCACATGTAAGATTAATATCAGTATTATTTACTGATGAGTGAAGAGACACCTCAGAAATAGAGCCAAACACATTCCCCTGACATTTCCTCACAGGGGTCTATGGTTATGCAAATCATGCATTTCCCTTTCCTCTCCTGCTGTTTGATCAGGCCTGAACTCTGGAAGCAAATGTCAGCGTCTTTCCTTCTGCATGAAACAGGGCAACTTTCAAGTCTTGTTATGACAGATACACATAAGCCAACTTTTCCCCTGACACATCAGCTTAAAATAAAGGTCATAATACGACATCTGAGGACCCTCAACAACAGGCACAGTGTCACAAAGCCTGTGGAATTCATGTTAAAAGCACCCATTACCCACCACACAACTTTATACGAATTTTTTTTGAGCTGACAATGATTTTACAACTCTTGGCTAAACGATGCAGGGCATCATTAAATTGGAAATTTGGGCAATCTGGTTTCATAACTTTTTTTTCGAGAATTGCATTTTCAATTATGAACAATAATGGACAATATTATATTAATACCCGGCAATTTCTCAGTTAAATGGTCCTGGTATGATAGCGTGCAGATATTATAATTGATTTAGCATTTGGTTTACCAACAGAACTGGCGTAGGCCTTATAATATGACCCTAAAGAGCTCAATGTTTATCCAACATGCCTTTAGAAGCCATCAGCAAAAGCTTTTACTGTGGAAAAACAGACTGAGACTGTAATGTCCTTGAAATTGAGCAACTATCACATCAACATTCACACACCTTGAGCTTCACACGGACAGCCTAACAGGGCGGCTTTAAGGAAAGACAAACAATGTTAAACTATTAATAGAAAAGACCCTACAGTGAAATGCTGTGTGCTGAGAACTGACAAACTGCTGTGGGAACAATCTGAGAATAACATTTTAAGGGATAACTCACCCAAAATAAACATTCTGGCATAATTTAAAGAATGTGTCGGTGTTTTTGTTATCCATGTAATGAAAGTCAATGGGGCTTTGACATTTATTGTCTGGACAAAAAAAGAAACGGTTGAAACTTTAAAATTTCAGAAGAAGAAAGAAAGTCATCCAGTTTTGGAATGACATGAGGGCAAACGATAATGAGAAAATGATGATTTTCATTTTTGGGTGGAGTACCTCTTTAAATCTTGGGCTGTCAAAGATTACATGTAATTAAATATGTTTAAGTCATTATTTATTTTTAAATGATTTTAAGCCATTTTAATCAATGTGACACTGCAAAAGTTAAATTTTAGTGTACATATATTACTTGGTTTTCTTTCCTAAAAAGGAACTGATTGTATTAATTGCATCAAATATTTAAAAAAATCTTATCTTAATTGCTATTACATTTTAAATTCCTTTGACAGCACTTTTTAAATTCATATTTATCCAAATTATACAGTTACATCACTAGACAATACTAATAATTTGAGCAAACGGAAAAACTTTCAACATGAAGGTTGATCTTTCATTGCTCTTACACATGATCAGAAATAGGAATGGCAGATATTTTGGCTTATGCTCTATATTAGAGTTTGGATATGAAAACAAAAAATACAATATATATATATATATATATTTCAATATTGCGTCTGTGTATTATTTTTGGAAGCAGGCTTTATTAAATATATTTGCAGGCACCATATCTTAGGATAATTGATATGTGATGGCGATGGTTTTTTGTTTTTTTCCCACTTTTTTATTGAGTACATTTTCCATTTTCTTTTAGCAACAGGTGACAAATGTATATAGTTAGTTAACAATAAACATTACAAAGTGGGACCTAAATGACACCTGTATCTGATCCAACCCTCTCCCCACCCCACCGTGAACTAACTCAATACAGGCCCATAAATGAGGACAGAGATACAGACCCATGCATACCAACAAACATTTACCAGTAGAAACAATGGTTATTTCTTTATCCCTTTTTTAACATTTTTGATTTTTGTTCACCTGGTTCAGAATCTGCCACTGTTTTAAACACACGTGTAAACACGTCTTCAACTGTTGCGATCACGTCTTTTGCAGCATCTCGCCCATTGACGGCTTCCTACACGACGTTCAACCAAGACCAGCGCCTCATGGTTTAGACCTCAAAAACGCATTCTGCGTCAATGGTCCCATTCAGTTTAGCTGCAACGATAGTTTGACAGGTCTTGCAAATGATCTGGCTCAATGACATACATCATCTCTCCAGTATTCAAAATAATCCCAAACCACAGATGCTGATTTTTTTGGGGGGGCACATCCTTATCCTGCCCTAAATTCACCATCCGTTTCAGTGATTTCTTAAATGTCATAACAGTAAACCCACTGTTCTGTTCTCGCACTAGATTTAGCCACGCTGCATTCAGATTGCACACTGAGGGGGCTGACGAAAAAAAAACCCACACGTGCTCACATCA